GTGTTCTTATTAAACGTTGTTTGTTTGTTGTTTTTGTTGTTGTTGTTTTTTATGAGCCAGAAGTGAAAGGTTTCAAACTGAAAGTGTCTCTGAAACAGCAAGAAGACTGAAAATAAATCATGAATTCTGGTCTTGAGGCGCATGTGTAAAATATAAATGTTTCAGATCTAATTTTGTATTTGTGTTCAGCTAGTCAAACATATTTGAAATGTTTTGGCCAATATCTCATTAGGCTTTATGGAGATCTTTACAAGGTTTTTCTGCTTTTTCACTTTTATTTATTTATTTTGTTTAGTCCTTGAATGACCATGACATTGAGTTTATTTAAAATAGCTTCTCGTAGTTGGCACTTACTGCCTTAAAAAATATGAACACGGACAAGTGGAGGACAAAAGAACTGTCGATCCTAAAAATAAAATAAATAAACATCAACAGTATGAACATCTGAAAGTCATGTTTTAAGAATTAATATAAATTAGCAAAAACTTAACCCAGGACCTGAGATCTGCATCATCTTTTATCTTATTCATCTACAGTTTTTAGCTAATAGCTCTTTGGGAATCACCTTATTGGCATTAAAATTTTATGTGTCTGACTGATTTGTTCAACAAACAAATAAATAAACAAATGGTGTTTTTGTGACAGGCTGCAAGATAAAACCTATTTGTCTTGCAATAGCTCTGCAGAAAGTGGTGAAGGCTGCACAGACGTCTGTTGGAGTCAGCCTCCCCACCACCACAGACATCTACACCTCCAGATGCAGGAAGACGGCCACCTGCATCATGAAGGACCCCACTCACCCAGCACGCACACTTTTTTCCCCGCTCCCCTCAAACAGGAGGTTGAGGAGCATTAAGTGTAAAATCACTAGACTGAGGAACAGCTTCTACCCTGAAGCTGTTAAGACTCATGAATATCTAACCAGGATAATCACTGTAATGCCACTTTAAATGGTGATGTCACTTTATCTGTGCTGCTGATTTCTTGCCTTTAAGCTGCTGTATTCATACCCATCTTCTCACAACACTCATGTTCAGGCTGCTGTTTAATACACCACATTATATTACACTATTATGGGCTGCGGCAGCTTGGTGGTCAGTGCCACAGTCTTGTAATCCTCAGGTTGCAGGTTTGAGTGCAGGTTGCATCAGGAAGGGCATTCGGTGTAAAACAGTTGCCAAATCTTTCATGCAAGTTTGCTTGCTGTGGCAACCCATGAAGAAGAGAGAAGCTGAAAGAAACTTACTCTATATTACATTATTATTGTTTAGCATATATCTTAGATCCATGTATGCTGTTTCTTTCTTTTTTATACTGTATTTTATTTAGCTAATTTTGGTTGTAGCTATAGGACCTTGAGTACACAATGTTGTTCCACCTCATGCCATGTGATGCGAATGACAACTGTGCGTGGTTCATCTCTTGCGTTTAAGAGCCTGAATGGATAAGTCAAAGTTTTGTGGCTTGATCTAATTTCCATGACCACTTTACAAGAGAGTCTAGTTTTTTAAAGCAAAGTACAAAAATAACTTAAGGTTGGCTCAAGACTTTTGCACAATGCTGCATGTCTAAATCAGATTTCTTGCTTGTTTACTAAGATTCAAAGGCGATGTATTTAAAAGCCAGCTGGATAGTGTGGAAAAATCTGACTACAGTACATGTATACACACTCTGTATCTTGTAAAAGTAAAGGTATGAAATATTTTGGCTCTTGTGAAGCCGCAGCTCCCTCTGAGCTGATGTTGTATCAGCTGACTATTGTTCTCTGTGTTGCTGTCTCTGGAGGCTGCAGCCAAAAAGTGAAAGAGCTTGATACAATTAATTCACCTCAGACCTCCATCGCCACCTTTGTTTATTTGTCCTTTCTCAGCGTTCTCGCCTTACATCCGTACCTCCGCCTCTCCCTCCTTTCTCCATCTCTTCCTTCGCCACTGACCAGCTGCTCTCCTCCTCTCCACTACTCCCCAGGTAAGCGAGGACAAGTCCCCACAACCCTACCCCTCCTGGTCCCCCAGGTAAACCAGAGACGCCCGAGGAACACCCTGGCCAAAAGAGACCCAGCATCACCTTACGGCCTTGCTCAAAAGTCCTCTTTCTAAAGCAGGAAAGCACAACACAGCCCCACTTTGAACAAAGTGCCAGGGGAGCTGAGGAACCAAACCCCCTTTTAGGTCTTTGTGTCTTTGCCTGATCTAAGCTCCAAGTCAGGCAGAGACTTGGACTGCAATCAAGAGCTGAGATTGGAGATAAATGAAGAAGTCAAAGGATCATGAGATGGAAACTGAAAAACAATGTTTAATGAAAATAATAATAATCTGAACAGGACCATTTCACCTGCGCATTAAGAACTGTTCACTGAGGAACAACCTGCACAGAATCACACTAATCTGCATAAATTCCTGTCACCTGCACTGCAAACTGAGTCATAACTAATATTTCTGATCCTTTCAACCTATTTATGGTTGGAAAGAATCAGTAGGAGAAATAGCATCCATGCGTTGGAGATAGTTGCCCCTCAATAATCTGGTGGAGCAGAACTCTGCTGTGCTGCAGCAGAGTGGTGCATTCAGTGTGTGTCGGACGTCTCTGCGTCATTTACTGTAATGAATTAACTCACTTTGGCAATTCTCTTTGAGCTTAACTCTTTTTATAAGCTAACTACAAAGTTACTGTGAACCATCATCAGTATTCTGTTAGTAAAATATGTTTGTATTAAAGTAAAGATGTGTGAAGAAATGTGTTCGAGAATCACAGCCCAGAGACAGTGTGAGCGTTGCAAAGCATTCTGGGTAGGAGTTATATGTGCAATGTCTCTGATTGTGTTTTTTCATGTTATTTTCCTGTTCTGGTTTGGGCCCTGTGATGGATTTGTATCTTGTCCGGGGTGTACCCCACCCCTCGCACAGTGATTGCTGGACATGGGCACCAGCGACCCCCGTGACCTAAAATGGAAGAAGCGGATAAAAGATAATGGATGGATGGATGGTTTGGCATTTATATTAAAGTCTCTGGTTGTAAACTGGCGCAATGACTCAGAGACTGTTTGCAGTATATGAGGAGGAAACAGCACTGTGATGGTGATGACATCATCAGGTGGCATTTAATTATGCATAGGTCCATGACTACACTAAAGTGACCAGATTTCTGGAATTAAATCTGGGGACATTTCCAGCTCGGTGATAAAATATAATTAAACATTATCAAGATGAAGTTAAGAAATGGTGGACAGTTACAGTTTCATTTATTTTTGAAAATGTATTCATATTTAAACAATAAAAATCAAATGTAGCAGCAGGATTGTGTTTTTTCCACACTTTTGTTAACATTTCTTAAGAGTAATAAAACGAATAAAGTGATAGTAGTAGTAAGCGAGTACTAAAACTGGGGGGCGGGGCAAGGGTCTATACTAAATTAAGTGATCATGTTGTGCATGAATTAAATAAAGCATGTAGTTTAAAAAGTACAGAAAACTGAAGAGATCTGGGGAATAATTCAAAATAACTGAATGTTATCCAGATTAAATAAGTAAATAAACTTAAAGTGTAATAGCTATACTGTTAGAACAAATTTATTATTTTTTTTCTTAACAATATTTTGTGCCTGATCTGTGGTCAGTGTCACTGACGTGAAATGTTTACCCTCTATTCAGCTTTGGGTTAACAAGAATAAATATTTAAATAGTGAAAAATACCTTTTTTAAACAATTGCTTAAATAAACTTGCTGTATTGAAACACTGATGATTAAATAATTTATTTATTGGTTTATTTGTCATGAAAAAGGGACATTACCAGCATCAATTAGAAACATCCTAATCAACCTTTTGACCAGTAGAGGGCAGTGTAGGATGAGTTTGTGCGGATCCAGAACAGACCAGTGGATCTGCTGGAGCAGAGGTATTGAACCTGGAATTTAATTTGATTAAAACAAGTGACAGTTCTACAAAAATGCTAAAGATTAATAAGGCAAAATTGGACAAAATAATGTTTTAAATACAGTCATTCTAAAAATGAGTAGGTCAACCAGTTTGATGGTGCTGCTTTCATCTGAAACACTTCTTCAGTCTGAGGTGCTGTATTCAGCTCAGTCTCTTAAATAGCACCTTCTCAGAGTGGATCAACCAGTTTTGCTGCTGACAACCAAAACCAGCTGATCACATGGTCAAGAAGGACCATCAGCCTAACAATGGATCATTAGCACACTGATGGCTGTTCACTGTTCACAGAGGGCTGAGTGATACTAGCAATAACAGCATTGTAAGAGGGGGACAGTTGAACACAGAGGCCTCCAGAGGACCCGACTTAACTTTTTTAGATTTTTCTACCTGGATTATTGAGCATGCATCAGGGTGTACTGTATATTGTTTTGTTGTTCGGTTTTATGCTGTTAATAAAGATTAAAAAAAAAAAAAAAACTTCCTGTTTAGCGTAATATAATTCCGTTTTTTTCTCATGTGATTTGGGCCACTTCCGCTTTGGCTACTTCCACTTTGGCTTAAAGTAATTCTGTTTTGTTTGTTGTTGTTGTTGTTGTTTTTTTGGTTTTTTTTTTCATTTACACCTTAGGGCCATCGTAATAAAGGTTGAATGAATGAATGAAAACTTGTACTGGTTAGTTGAGGAGCTCTATTTTACCATACCATACCATACCAATTTATTTATATAGCACTTAAAACAGCAACAAGGCCAACCAAAGTGCTGTACAAAAGAAAACAAACATGCACAGCAGACAGGAAAACATAAAATAGAAATACAGATACAAATAGCAGCAGAAGCTAACTAAAATGGCCAACAGAGTAGAGAACAGACCGGACCAAAACAAATCACACCGTGTTAAAGGCAAGCGAATAGAAGTGGGTCTTCAAGCGAGACTTAAAGACTGAGAGTGTGGGAGCCTGCCGGACACTCAGTGGCAACTCATTCCACAGTCGTGGACCTGCGACAGAGAAAGCCCTGTCACCTCTGAGCTTACGACGGGTTTCTGGGACTGAGAGAAGCATCTGGTCTGCTGACCTCAGAGAGCGCGGTGGGACATATGGCTGCAGAAGATCAGTGAGATAGGATGGGGCGGAACTGTTCAGTGATTTAAAAACATACATGAGAATTTTGAAATGGATCCGAAGGTGAATGGGTAGCCAGTGCAGGGAGGCCCAAACTGGCGTGATGTGCTCTCTATAGCCTGTACCAGTTAAACATCGGGCTGCAGCATTTTGGACCAGTTGTAGACGAGCAATTTTAGAGCAAGGTCGTGCCTGCAAGACAGTACCGAGGGCAGAAAAAAACATACAGAGTACGCGGAAGAAGCGCCTCTCGGTCGGAGTCTGTCAGTCAAACTGGAAGTTCAGCCAAGTTTCAGGAGAACAAAGAGTTCAGGCGGCTCAGCACTTCACATGGCTCAGGCCAGCATCTCGGTGACCGAGAGCCAGTTCAGGTGCCCCATCTGCCTGGACATCCTGAGAGACCCAGTGTCCACCCCTTGCGGACACACCTACTGCATGGAGTGCATCAACAACTACTGGGACCAGGCAGAGCCACCGGGACACCACAGCTGTCCGCAGTGTCGCGAGCCGCTCTGCCCCCGCCCGGTGCTGCGGAGGAACACGGTGCTCGCAGAGGTCGTCGATAAACTCCGGCTGAGGGAGGGGGTCGGGCAGCAGCTCCACCTGGGAGGATGCGGGGAGGTTCCGTGCGAGGAGGAGAGCAGGGTGCACGCGCAGGAAGCCAGAAGACAGGTGAGGATTTGTCCCGGAAGTTCAATCAGGTGCCTCCAAGGTGTTTGTGATATAATATTATATTGTTTGCCAAATTCTACATTCATAAATGTCGTTTTACAAAAGCTCTTCCAAATTGTAAAAGCGTTTAAAAATGACTTCTTTTTTTTTTAATTATTTGGTCAATCTTTAACCCTTTGATGCACAACATGAGTCCAAAATGACCCGCATTCGTTTTCCAGGTGATTTCATGCTGACTGAGTTTTTCTTGGCTCCATCTTTTTAAATCGATTCATTTTATGATTGAATATTCCAAGTATTCTTTAAATAGCTTGTTTTTAATGACCACATATCATTTTTTTTTTATTTCCTACTTTTATGAACAAAAATACTTTTTATATTACTACACATGGGTCATCCAAGTGTCATTTAAAGTCAAATGTCTTAATATTATAATAAAAAAATGGTTTCAAGTAATTTAGCAGTGAATGGGGTCAAACGGTTATTTATTTAATATGTGCAACATGTTTGTCATTTTGTCACACACACACACCTCCTGATAACTGATAACAGCTACAGAACTGAACTTTATCTGTGGTTTAACAACTGTAAACTGGTGAAATGTCTTTTTTTTTAAAACACAATTGAACGCGTCACTCGAACACAAACCGCCATCTCAACTTGTGCATGCCTCACAAATGATCAGTGTTCGTGCTCCTTGTACACAGGCTGGTGCACTGGGAACACCAGCTGCTGGCTTTTCCATCTTTCGAAACTGGGCACCTCCTCTTCCTCCATGCACCTCCTCTTCCTCTTCCTCTTCCTTTGGCCCTCCTGTCTGATGTCCTCTGTGTGTGTGTTGTGTTTTTTTAATCCACACCTTCCCATTCCTCAATATCATGCTTCTGGAGTTTGGGTGTGCCCTCCATGCGCCTCTTCATATGTGGCATGACAAGCTCTTTGCCCAGCTCCTTGATCAATAGTCGGCGTGCATTACTCGCACCAGCCTATGATCAGGGTGTTGTGCACTGAAGTGTGTGTAGGCACAGTGTGTGGCAACATCCAGCATATTGTACAAGAGAACCATGGGCCACCCCCTTGTTCTCCACACATGTGTAGTTGCTAACCATTTGATCCATTGTGTCCACTCCTTTTGTTTTGTTGTAGTACTGGATCACTTCTGGTTTCTTCTTCTGACGCTGTTATCTACTGCTTTGTCGTCATGCATGGTGCTCCGTAGGACGACAGCCTTTCCCTTCTCCTGCACATAGCTCACCATGGAATCCAAATTCCGAGCTATGAAGCTCCCATGATTTGGATGGCTTCATGATGGGTCAGGCTTGTTCTGGTGAAGAGTCCCAACGATGTTCAGGTTGTTGTTGAGGAGCTTCTCAGCCAGAGGGGACACTGGTGAAAGAGTTGTTCCCAACAAACGCTGCAGAAAATGCATGCGGGTCGTTTCTGACCCATGTGTGTAAACCTGATGTAGAATTACAAAAGCTGTGCTTGTTCATAACTTAAGAATGGAATACTAAAAATTATGATTTTGTGCTAAACAAAACCAAGATATTTACTGCAGATTTGGAAAAAGTAAATGATAAAATTAATTAATTTCAAAGTATATCACAGAAACAGCCATACATGAAGTAAACTGGAAAATGAATCCGGGTCGTTTTTGACCCATTTTGTGCATTTGAAGTGATACAAAAAGGGTTTTTATTCAAAAAGTAATAAAGGAAAAAAATAAAATAAGGATGTCTGATGATCAAAAACAAGTTAATTGAGGAATCCCTTGAATACTGAAATTAATTTATTGCAAAGATATAGATAATAAAAACTCATCCAGGTCACTTTTGACCCATGTTTTGCATCAAAGGGTTAAAGAAAAAACAGACCTGCTATCAAACTTTTCTCTATCATTTCAGAATTTAAGTTGTTATAAACCCCTGGTTTAATTTTTGCTTTAAAAATCTTAATTTAATGTGATTAGGTTAAGTTTTTTTTTTTTTTTTCCTTCTGTCTCGTTTCCTGTTCAATTGTTCATATATGCTGATGTTGTGAATACAGAAGTTATACTAATATGTTATTCTTGGGGGGGGGGGGGGGGAATGGTATTGATAGGGAGGTTTAGTTTTAATATGTTAGTTGAAATAGATTTGTTAAAATGTGAATTTGTTTTGTATGTTTTTTGTTAAAAAAAAACAAAAAAAAAGTGTTTTTAATGAGGAAACTCTCCGGACTTCCAGTGCTTGTTTTTATTTATTGCATTACAATTGTTTAACCTGATTTTGCAGGATTGTTTTAATACTTCTTTATCATTATGACAATATTGTTTGGAATTTGTTAAAAAAAAAAAAAAGTCCTGCATCTTCTTAAAAACATTAGAAGATATTTGGAGTCTGTTTTTTTTTTTACATGCAGTACTTTTTTTTTTTTTTTTTTAAACAAAGTAATACATGTCAGCTTTAATCTTCTAAGATCATAGCCTTGGGATCACATAGCTCTACAGAACCTCACTGACCCACACAAGGTGAGGTCAGTGAACAAGGCCAGGCTGATTCTGGCAGCTCCTGATCACCACTCCATGGTGAGTTCAGGTTGTTGCTTTCATCTGGAGCAGCTCTCTGCTGCAGCTGCCCAGATGTAAGACGAACAGACTGAAAAACTCATTCATCCCTGTAGTGATGAGGCTTCTTAATAAACAATGATGATTCTGTACTGTTATTTTAATGTATTAATGTCTAGGACGTTTTGTGTGTCTACTGACTGTGAAACAAATTGCCCCTTGGGGATAATAAAGACTCTTGAACTTGAACAAATTCTTGTGAAAAGGACCACTCGATCTTAATGTACAAATAAAATAAAACATTTTACTATGTTTAAATCAAACTGACTGTCAAAGGGCGACAGATATTAGGAAAATACCATGTCCATAAATCACATTAAAGACAATTTAGAGGAACATAGTGCATAAAATAAATCATTATTGTTTCTATGACTGTCAGCTCCAGCTCCAAGAGTCTCAGAGGATACTTCAGGGGAGGATCCGAACTGGAGAGCGAGATCTAGAAGAACTTCAACAAACCCTAGATTCCTTGAAGGTAACAAATACAACAACACGCACACAGCCAGGGTGATCACTGTTCTTTGTAAACCCGTTGTCATCATCAGCAGGGAGTTTCCAAGAACGTACTAATTATTGACACCAAGCTGAGACTCCCAAAGAGTCAAACCGTCTTTGTTTTATTGATGGCTCTGAGAAATCAACAGGTGTGCACAGGATTTACTTGGACTAAATGAAGCGTTGTTATCCAACACCTTCAGTCTACTTCACAGAAGTCTGTCCAGCCACACAGAGGATTAGAGATCATCTCTGGAATCCAGACCAGAGGATGGAAAATCACAAATCCGTCACTTTCAGTGTAATGACGCGGAGTTTCCACTTAGATTTTTGTACGATTAAACTCTTCAATAGTAATGTCAGTGTTTTATCTATTTAAATCAAAACTGGGGCGGCACAGTGGCTCAGGTGGTGGAGTTGTTGTCTCTCAGTGAGAAGGTCGCCGGATCAAGTTCTGGCCCAGGGCCTTTCTGGGTGGAGTTTGCATGTTCTCTCCATTCATGTGTGGGTTTTCTCCGGGTACTCCGGACTTTTTTCTTTCTGCTCCTCCCTCCTTCAGGGAGCTACCGCAGCCCTTTGTGTGGAGTAGACGGCTGCCACCTGGGGGAGGGGGGGGTTTAGAGCCTTGGAGTGGTGGCGTAGAGGAGGTAGCCAGTTTGAATCCCCAGACCGTTACATCAAAATGTGGGCTAGGTGAAGCATCCACACCTACCTCCACCCTCATTTGCCCCACTCTGGGCCCTTATCCCCCCAGCTGTTCCCCGGACGCCCTAGATGGTAGCCCTCTGCTCCACACAGAGGGCTGTGGTTGCATCTGGTGTAAAACAACTGCTAAATCCTCAGCCAAGTTTGCTTGTTGTGGCCACCCCTGAAGAAGGGAGCTGCCGACAGGAAAGAAAAAATAATTTCTGTGTCTTTAAAAATACATTTTCCTATGACAGAACAAAAATCTTTCATTTCGTATAAACATTTTCATTGCCATTTTTAAGCTCGTGCGTTCACGATGTAATGTTAACTTTTTAGTGTTTGATTCTGTAACGTTTTGGGCTGGATAAAGAGTGAGACTCATATTTTTTTCACACACAAAAATTCTGTTCCAAAGGACGAATTTGATCAGTTCTTTTTGGAAAAGTTGTTTTAGCCCTAGTTCCCCCCCCCCCGCCCCCCCAATTAATAAAATCATCCATTCTCCTGAGCATTTTCAGGATCTTCTTTTTTTTTTCTTTCTCCCAGTTACTACCACAATAAATTTTACCTCAGTGTCTGTAAAATAGACTCAGTTACAACAAATCCTGTCTTTGTTCATTTTGATTAGCTGTGGTGATCACTTTAAATTAGGTTATCTCCAAAAGTTAATCGGCTATAGATGTATAGCCAATTACTTTCTGAAAGTTTTATTAAAATCTTTCCAACGATTGATAGTCAATATTTTACCAACAGACAATCAAGGTTGTCTCCAGCAGCTAATATAAAAGTTAAAAATCTTGCGCAACAAGTAGCAGAATGTATAATGAATGAATCAGTAGCAGATGTGCATCCACTAATTAGTTTTTAAATAGTTTTATTAAACTGTGTCCAGCGTTTCATGAGATAATTTTGGTAACAAACAGATACATGCACAGAAACGGGCAAAAACATTATCATCCTCCTCCACCTTTTGGTGGCAGGTGATAAAAATCAATAAAATTAATCAATCCAATTATGGAACTTTTGTTTGTTTTACCTCACAGAAAACTATAACTTTTTCAGAGGTGCTGTTAAAGTGCATAATACAGTACTAAATGGCATCAACTGTCAGTTGATGGTTGCTGTTTAATATTCACCATTCTTTTGAATCTCGCTGTGGATGAGTGGTTAGAGCTGTCGTCCTCCAATAAGAGAGTTCAATTCCACCAATCATCACATATCCAAGTGTTCCTGGGTAAAATACTGAATCTCTCATCACCTCCAATTAGGCCTGTCACGATAAACAATAAATCAATTAATCGCTTGATAAATGAAAATTATCGACCTCATGGTCTGGAGACAGTGGCACTGACAAAAAGACTTGGAAGTGGCAGAAATGAAGATGTTGAGGTTCTCCTTAGGAGTGACAAGGATGGATAAGAATGAGATCATCAGAGGTACAGCACTGGTTGAACAACTGGGAGATAAAGTTAGGGAGGCCACACTGAGATGGTTTGGACATGTCAAAAGGACGGACCGTGGGTATATTGATAGAAGGATGTTAGAAATGCAGCTGCCAGGAAAAAGACAAAGAGGAGATATATGGATGCAGTTAGAGAGGACATGGAGGTAGTTGGAGTGAGGACAGAGGATGCAGAGGACAGAGTGAGGTGGAGGAGGATGACTCGCTGTGGAGACCCCTGAAGAGGGAAAAGCCGAAAGAAGAAGAAGATCAACCTCATTTTCATTTATCGGCTTCATCGTTTCTTCGTGTCTCTCTTTCTACTGAAGACACTGAATGACAAAAGGCTCAACTCCGGTGCTCTTCACTGACCCCTCCCTTTCTTTTTTCTCTTTAAAATCCATTTTAACCATCCAAAATCGCGTTTTTGGTTTGTTAAAACAGCTAAGTTGAGAAGCTAAGCTACGAGCTAAGCGAACAGGCCAACCTTAGGAGAACCCTCCGTCTTGTCGAATCTCCAAAATTCACGGTTGAAACCCGTGCCTTCGTGTAAAAAGTTGTTTTTCTTCTGCAAAAAGAAGCTGAGAACTTGTTTACTGATTTTTTTTTTTTTTATAAATTAAAAGATTTGTGTGAAAAAATGCTATGCTAAAGAGCTCAAACCACACTGTGTCCGCCATTTTGAGAAACGAAAAACAGGAAGGAGAGACAGCCCATGGGGTGGCTGTGGCTGAGTGGTTAGAGCAGTCGTCTTCCAATGCAAGTTGGGGGTTTGAATCCACCAGCAGTCACATGCCGAAGTGTCTCAGGGCAAAACGCTGATCTCCTCGATAACTTTGATGTGTGTCCCATCATGTATGAATGTGATCTAAAGCACTGATTAGTCTCTTTAGAATGATTTGTTCAATTAGCTTGTAGAGATCTATAGAGTGCTGTATGAATGGGTAAATAAGGACACAGTTTGGAGTGTAAAGCGCGTTGAATACCTCGATAAGATAGAAAGGCGCTATATAAATACAGTCCATTTATCCATTTATGTCATGTCAAGGGGCCTCCCTCCCATTTTTTTTTTTAGAGACATGCTTCTTACTCCCTCACTATCCATCCATTGGTTCATGCGGTCTTATACTGCCATCCCCGTGGTCAAAAAAGGTACTACACGCAAAAATTAAACACCATTTCTTCTTAAATTTGACGATAATTACTAATTATCGTCAAATTTCAAACAATATTGTTTATCGCAATAATTTCTGAGACAAATGCCCAGCAAAATTTGTTATCGTGACAGGCCTACCTCCAGTTTGTATCTGGTCGATGTATTCATTCAACCTTTATTTATACAGGTTAATCCCATTGAGCCTTGGGGACTCATTTACAAGAGAGACCTGATTTTAACAAAGAGTCATGACAACAGTGGACAAGAAAGACAACAATAGACAATCATAAAGGATGCGTACAAATTTGAATGTGATTTAAAGTAGTGGTCCCCAATCCCCGGGCCGCGGACTGGTACCGTTCCGTTGGTCAATTGGTTCCGGGCCACATAGAAAGAATACAAAACTTGCATCGTTTCCGTTTTGTTTAGTATCTGATTCTGAACTATGTTTTATTTTGGAAAATTACCGGATTCTCTCCGCTACATCTGTCTATGACTCACTCTTGACGCAGGTCAAGATGCTTGCCTCGATCACATGGCTACCTTCTTCAAGGGGCTGCTCCCGCTGGTAACACACCTTGGCCAGCTCTCCCTGCTCTCTGACCTTTCTCTCCTGGAGATGCCTCAGCTCCAGACAGGATCTCCAACCACGCCCACCCCGCACGGCGTCTCTTCAGACGGCTCTCGCTCCAGCTGGCCTCCCTCCCTTCAGCGGCCTGCAGAGGGACTTTGACTTTTCCACCGGTCTACCCATCAGGTCCTGGTTTGGACGCAGAGGTGGAGAAGCATCCCTGGTTAAAGTCATGGCAGAATACCCTGAGATTGCCACAACAGCACTGAAAACCCTGTTGTCATTTCCAACATACTATCTGTGTGAATCAGGGTTTACTGTAGTGACAGCAACCAAAACAAAGTTACGGAGCAGACTGGACACACAGTAAGCAACACACTTTGGGTGTCATTGTCCCCCATTACCCCTAGATGGGACCGTCGCACAGAAATAAGCTTATGGCTCCCACTGATTTCGCTATGGTGAGTTGTATTCAGTGGTGTAGTCTATAGTTTTGTAGTGGGTATACTGTACTTAGAAACCAAAGTACACCGGTTAGTACTGTAATCGTTAATTTATTTTGATTTTTAAACATATTGAACATTTCAAAATATCTCTGATGCTTTTATTTGAATAAATGTACCTTTGTGCAATAGTTGTCTTTGTATTAAAAACATGTTATAATATTTATAAAACTGTATCAAAGCAAAACATGTTAAAGTATTAAGTAAGTACAGAAGTATTAATTATACAAAAAACAGTTGAACCAACTCATTGTGTTTATAAAATGTTCCCAATGTGTTGACAATGACACAAGCCCATGTATCATTGCCAATGAAATATGGGCTTGTGTCAATGGGCACTTTTAAGTGGGTATACTGAAGTTCCCAAGCTTTTCTGGTGGGTATACGGAGTATCGCATAGACGACACCACTGGTTGTATTTTTCATGCACTTTATATTTGTTTTTGTGGTGTATCTTATGTTGAAGGCATGTTTAACTTTTATTATTACGACCAGAGAGTGTGGGGCTGGGAGGCCATTACTCATGTAACGATGGTGGCGCGATGTTACGAGGACACTGCTAATAAAGTTGCATACACAGTGGATTCACGTTTATTATTATATTTAGAAAATACCTGTTTTTATGCCTGTTGTATCATTTTATTTTGTCGTATTTATCCACCGCACCTTAAAGGCTGATCCGTGAAAATAGTGTTTGACATTAAACCGGTCCGTGACACAACAAAGGTTGGGGACGCGGATCTAAAGCACTAATTTGACTCTATAGAATGATTTACTCAGATTAGATTTGTAGAGATGCATGAGAGTTCTGTGAGGGCACAGATTGTGTAGTAAAGCACTTTAAGTACCCTGATTAAATTGAATGTCCATTACATTCACTAATTTTTTAGAAGGTGCCATTTTTCAAACTATTTAATTGTTTATCGTGTTTGTGTTTCAGGTGTCAGCGTGTGCAGTCCTGGAGGACAGTGAAGCTCTGTTTGCTGACATGGCACAACGCCTGGAGAAAACTAAAGCCGAGGTGAGAAGCCGACTCTAGAAGTATCAGAGTCAGAGTTTCTTTATTGTCATTCGCACCTCATGTGGTACATGTGGTGGAGCGAAATTATGTACACAGGGTCCCAGTTACATCCAACAATAAAATGTATAAGAAAAACAGTAATAACATCTAAGATATGAACTAAGAAAAACATCAACTAAATATACACTAAGCACTCATAACATTAAACATTGAACATCAGCACAAACATGAACATGGGGTGTGACGTTACAAACGTGTGCAACATAAAAACCGACGGTAATGATGTCATTTTCTCAAAACTACACCAGTCGCAAGGGAAGTAGACCTGAAAACAGCAGCTGTTGTACCATTTAAAATAAGTTAAAACTGTCCCCTTATTTGAGTTCCTGTGTTTAAACAAAGTATCAAGAAACAACATTTTATCTCTAAGTGCATTAAAAAAAGCATAAACTTTATATACTAGTAATCGCTACCATTAATTATAATGACTGCTGCGATGACTTAAAAAGACATCAAGGTAGTTACTAGTTACGGTAGCAATTTTCGTAGTCCTGATAACTTTTTAATGGTTTCATTTGACATGTGCATGTTATGGTTTTGTGTATATATGTCTACAATTTATTATCCACCTGACACAATCCTTGAGTTTCAGACCCATTTGCAGGCAGGCAGGCGAAGCAGGAGTTTAAAATAAAAAAAAATATTTATTTTAAACGACAAAAACAAAATGCTGGCATGGCAACAAAAACTTACAACAGGAACAGGCAGGCATAAGCAGGACGGGTACAGACTCAGACGGGAACTCGGAAACCAGAGACAGGAGGACCGTGCAGTCTGTGGCAGCAGAACAATGACCGGACGAAGAGTGGAGGAGAGAAAGGCTTTTTGTAAGACAGAGGGAGAGTGAGTAATGAGAGCACCTGGGCAGGTGTGAATGATGAAGACTGAAGACTGGAGAGGCAGACTGAGGAGTGAGTGGAGACTGACATGAAACACAGAGTCAAAATACACAAGGAACCAAATGACACTAGAAGCAGAATGAAACAAACAAAAGACAGAAAGGGAAGATGCAGAAATTCAAAGACAGAGCACGGACAGACTGTGTCGCCACCTGTCTGGAGCCAAGAGGGGAATTGGATATACTCTTTGTCCTTGTGAGCTGAAAAACTTAAAACTCAAGTGTCCATTTTGTTGCGACTACTTGAAGGTCACTATCGAAAATTGGGTTTCCATGTCAAAATTCAAGATGGCCACCTCCTTATGTACTGTATCTGTAAACTGTTCACCTCAGTCTGAGAAAACTATGCTTTCTAGTTTTTAAATTGCCTAAAAGTATAGTTTCCTCAAAAGGATGGGGTGGCCGAAGGTTAGTCTATGGTGGCTAAGGCCACCATTGGCCACCCCCTGACTCTGCCATTGCACCTGGTGGATAAAAGTGCTCATTCCACTCATCAGGATCCATCACTCAGCTTCGCCTCGGACAAGTAAAAAGACAGCGACCTCTTATGCACCGTGTAACTCCTACCTGCTAGAAAATCTTGCATCAAAACCATTAAGGTTTACTTCCATTCCATCCATCCATCCATTTTCTTTACCCGTTTATTCCATTTTGGGTCACGGGACTTCCATTCCTGGTATAATAATTATTATTACAACTATTTGCATGTTAAAATGTTAAAAACTGTTGTGCACTAAGATTCGTTTATAAAAACGTAAATAGTAACTTTAAGATAAACGGATTGCTTTGTGATATTTTCATCCCATCTGTGGGAAACTGCAGGTTCGAGTGATGCTGGAGGCCAAGGAACGAGTGGTGGTCGGGAGAGCAGCTGCAGATATAGAGCTGCTGGAGAAAGACCTGGAGGAGCTGAGGAGGAGAGACGAGGAGATCAGCCAGCTGCTGAAAACTGAGGACAGCACTCGTTTCTTACAAGTAGGGAGGGAAAAAACTTTTGGGTTCAGAAAGAATTTAATAAAATTGTAAGCAACCTCATTAGGATACGAATGAACGTACAAGAGCAGTGTTTATTTCAGAAAAAAGCAACAAGTCAAAGAAGTAATCGATCAGTTATTAATTGATCAGTGAGATGGGTGGTTGTCTTTTCCAGGCATAAAAGAAGATGACTTGGAAGCAGGAGGTTTCTGGAAAGAGACTTGATGCTGGCATCTCTTTTCAACAATTACTAGGAAATGTTGAAGGCGACTGAGAAACGACAAAAAATACACTGGAGTTGGAAAAAACAGAATTAATTAGAAAAAAGAAGTGAACAAAATTAAATTACGGTACTGTTGTTCGCAACTCCACAGAGAATTCAAATTAAATTAAAATTAAAGACTTAAAACTAGTTTAAAATATGAACAAAAATAAATTAAATTGTTCAAATCAATTCAGTTTATTTATATAGCGCCAAGTCACAACAGAAGTTATCTCGGGGCACTGAACAGAAACATTCATTTACGTTATAAAAGCCAATTAGTAAAAGTTTTCTAAGGAAACCAACAGATCGTGTTGAATCTTCACTTATTTTTGTCTTCTTGTGTTACTTTTTAGATTTTAGTCAATTTCCTCCTTCAAGCTTTTATTTACTGTTCTGCAACTTAACTTTTTTAGCTTTTAGCTGGCTATTTGCTACTTTTCGCTTCTGTCTAGCCTTTTGATGATTTTGGTAACTTTTCTAGCTTTTTGATGCTTTAGCTTTCTTAATTTTTGCCTACAATTTTACTGATTTTAAGCTTGCTTTTTGCCATTTTAGCTTCTAACCACCATTATGCTAATTTGAGCTTTTAGCTAGTCTTTAGCTACTTTTAGCATTTTTGCTAGCTTTTTGCTACCCTTCAGTAATGTTTTGTTACTTTTTTATCTTCCAATTAGTGTTTTGCTCATTTTGGTTTTTAGCTAGCATTTTGCCTCTTTTAGCTTGTAGCTAAAGTTCTGCTTTTTGTTACAACTTCAACAACCCAGTTTAATTTTTTCAGCACATACCAGCAGTCATTTGCAATTTCTCTAGTGATTCCTTTGTTATTTATGACATTTCCTTTATTATGATATTTTGTTGTTGTTGTTTTCTTTTATTTGGCACTTTAACCATTATAGGCCGATCTTAAGTGTTGGTACGTCCTGGAGGTCATGCGAATTAACCGGAGTCTGCACCAGTTACATGGGGAAGAAGAGAACAGAATGAGTCAGCACAGTGGGGATTAAAAAGCTGCACCGACCTGAGTGCTGTTTTCAAATGCAGTTGTTCAAGAGATTAAGTGGGACTACAGGTTAAAACTGTCATTTATTTTCCACCTTTTGTCTTCATTGGTTCAGGCGGCCCCTCTGCTCTGCATCCGTCTCACCTCTGATCAGCACTCCAGAACCTTCAGACCGCCCACGGAGGCCTTCAGTGATGCCAGAAAAGCGCTGTGCCATCTCCGCAGCCGCCTGGAAGACGTCTGCAGGGAGGAGGTGGACAGGATGGGCCAAGGTATTTGACCTACAGAAGAAAAAAAACAGACACCACAGATGTTGAAATATTCAAATCAAAAATAGTCCTTGTGAATATAATTGCAGCATGCACAAATTAAATACAGACACTCAGCTGGATTTAAAGATTTTTATCATCAATAAGATAAAAAATTTAGTTTAACATGAGCCGCACATTCACTTGGTTTCAAACTTTATGATGGTTTCCCATGGAACTTTGTCCCAGGTGAAGCGTTTTCAAATAAAGGTAAAAAACACAATGCCAGGATGCAACCCCCCCCCCCCCACACACACACACACACACACACACACACACACACACTTGTGAGTCTTTAACAAAACATTTAACACTGCGAGTGACAGTGGACAGTAACGTATTAATGTTTAAGAGGACAGGACGCTGTCTGATGCAGTTCAACTAATCCTAATCTTAGTTGAATCAACTTCTGTTCAAACGATCTCAGCTTAAAGAAACTGGGTAAACAATACAGATTGTAAAGAAGTAAACCATGTCGTCTTCCTGTTGTGTATAAATGTTGGTCACTGACACCGGTGTGTCACCAGAGGACACTGTTGTCCTGTCAATCATTCTGATTTCGCACTGTTCAATGATTACTTTTGGTCATTTCATTACGTTAAAAATCTAAAATTTCTAAATCTGACCATTCCGTTGCTTAAATGTCACAAGTTGTATCTTCAATAAATGAAATACTTGTTTTAGTACAATATCAAACCTCTTATCAGCTTGTTGTTGCCCCTCCCATTCCAAAATCTGTAATTTATTAGATTCTGTTGTCTTCAAATCTGTGAAAGAAAAGGCCAGACAAGTTTAAGGCTTGATACTGTCACTTGCTTTGCCTCTAAACCTTTCAACTACTTTATGAAACAGTGATCAACCATGAAGTTTTGTTGTGAAGTTAAATTGTCCATCACCACAAAAAGTAGATGCCTGTGGTTGTACTGTCTGTTAGCAAAATATATGTTATGGATTTATTGAACCTCTCAGAAAGTAATCATTGGATGTACATCAACAATTGATTTGCAGCCCACCAAATTCAAGATGGCTGCCATGACTAACTGACTTTGGTATACAGTAGTCCCTCATTTATCACGGGGTTTAGGGGACCATGCCCCCCCACCCCCCACCCCATCCCCCCAGCAATAAGTGAAAAACCGAAAAGTAGGTATACAGTAGGTAGTTCAAGTAAATTTTATTGTCATTACCATCTCGTGGTACATGGAACAAAATTATGTACACAAGTAGTAGTGGTAGTGGTAGTAGTGGTAGTGGTTGTGGTGCTGGTGGTGGTAGTAGTATTAGTAGTAGTAGCAGTGGTGCTAGTAGTAGTATTAATAGTAGTAGTAGTAGTATTGGTAGTGGTTACTGTAGTAATAGTAAGTGGTAGTTACTGTAGTAGCAGTAGTTGCTGTAGTAATAGTTACTGTAGTAATGGTAAGTGGCAGTTACTGTAGTAGTAATAGTTACTGTAGTACTAGTAAGTGGTAGTTACTGTAGTAGTAGTAAGTAGTAGTTGCTGTAGTAGTAGTAAGTAGTAGTTGCTGTAGTAGTAGTAGTTGCTGTAGTAGTAGTAAGTAGTAGTTGCTGTAGTAGTAGTAGTTGCTGTAGTAGTAGTAAGTAGTAGTTGCTGTAGTAGTAGTAGTT